TCAAGACCTTAGATTGAAAGTACATTGGATTCAGACCATACCTCTTTCTCATCTGTGAGGTGTCATGCACAACTACGGCACTGTATAATTCAAGTTAACGATCCTCATTTTTGCATATGTAGGTAGGCACCTATATGTACAGGGGAGTCGCATCTTAGGCGGGGGTTAGGTTCTGAAGTCAGCGCGTAAGGCGAAAATCGCGTATAGTCAAACGCTCATTGAGTGGAATGGCGGGTGGAATCGCCCGCACTACAAGTACAGTATTTAAATTGTTATTTTTCTCTTTTTTGTTTTGTTTTGCCGAGCACGTATAATTAAAATCGCGTAAGTTAAATGCGCCTATGATGCGACTCCACTGTATAGCCTTTCGGTTAAAATGGTTGGGAGCAAGAGTAAGGGACAGTCTGGAGCTGCATAGGGCAGATTGTTCCCTGGCAAGGCACAATGCCTCTAGAAGCTAAAGGGGAGTGCGGTTGCTGTGCCACCCTCAATCAGTATGTAGCATGTGTCCACCCACCCTGCACTGCAGAGGGCCAGTTGGGAGGCATGAAGTCCTACATCTAAACTCAACAGTGGCACAAAACTCCAGCAGTCCTTGTGCTCCAGAGTGCTACTGCAACCAATTCAGCTTGTGCAGACAATAATCTGTGGGTGAGTATGACAAGGCCAGAGGGAACCTTTAATCTTCTCTCCTTGCACCCTCACACAAAGGATGGACCAGTTCTTTCGGTCTGGAAATCAGGCCTCGCCTGTGTAACAAATCAGAGCAATTTTTCATGAACCTTACATAAAGTTTTCCCCTTTCTTGTTGCCAAAGTCATTGGCCGCAGAGGTTGCTAGCCAAATAATCTGCTGTGCTGCTTTAACGTGCTGTGCATCCTAGTAAACTTAGAGTATTCCAAACTGTGTGTTTAGAAATTGCTGTGAGGGAACCTCCTTTTTTTCCTCCATCTCTACACCCTTTTGGTCTTGAACAATCTCCCTTTCCCAATCAATATGGGCTTTCCCGATCATGTGGCTGCATAACGCATAATGGTTGTATCAGGTCCAGGTCATGCCATGTGTAGAACCCTGACTTTTTGTAAAATGGGAGTAGTCTGTTGAAATGGTGCAAAATCGGCTTTATGTGGAGGGATATGAAACTAGATCCTGCTTTTCAAACACTGATTCTGCTTTGGGCATAACATTCCCATATTGCAGCGTTTCCCAACCTGGGATGCCGCTTGTGTAGGGAAAGCCCCTGGCGAGCTGGGCCGGTTTCTTTACCTGCCACGTCTGCAGGTCAGGCCGATCGCGGCTCCCACTGGCCGCGGTTCGCTGCTCCAGGCCAATGGGAGCTGCTGGAAGCGGCGGCCAATACGTCCCTCAGCCCGCGCCACTTCCAGCAGCTCCCATTGGCCTGGAGCAACGAACCGCGGCCAGTGGGAGCCGCGATCGGCCGGACCTGCGGACGCGGCAGGTTAACAAACTGTCCCGGCCCACCAGGAGCTTTCCCTACACAAGCGGCATCCCAAGTTTGGGAAACACTGCCATATTGTATTTGATGACTTTTCCACAGCCTCTTTTGGCTGGGGACTTTTTATATGTACTGCATTACATTCAGTCAATTAAATATTTTTTAAAATAAAGTTTGGAACAAATGTTGTTTATTTGCAAATACGTAGCTATATTGTGCCATCGATTTATAAACAGAAATCCTCATTAAAGTCAACAGGAAGTTTTGCTTAACAATTGGTGGCTCAACACTGCTCCTTGAATAAACGTCTAAACCCTACAAGAATGACTTGGACAAAACTCTCATTGATTGTAATGGAAGCGGAGAGTGAACAGGACGGCAGGAATTGGCCCCATATTTGTATGTTTAGCAAGTGAATGGAAAAAAGACCAATTCTGAAAACTTTAGCAACAAGGGGTAGCTCCTCAGCTGGTGTAAATCAGTGCAGCTTCACACTTGGCAAGGGAGTCGCACTGAGTTACACCAGCTGAGGATCTAAGCTTAAGGATGCAATTCTGATCTCTGTTATGAGTGTCAATGGAGACTAGGGTGACCAGATGTCCCAATTTTATAGGGACAGTCCTGATATTTGGGGCTTTTTTTTTTATATGGGCTCCTATGACCCCCCCCCCGCCCCCTGTCCTGATTTTTCACACTTGCTATCTGGTCAACCTAATGGAGACATTCTGGATTTAAACCGATGTACGGGACAATAGAACTTGGCCAATGAGAGTCACAACGTTGGCCCCATTCTATGTCCTTTACACTATTCTGGCAGTGACATGTGATGGAAGGCTAGCTTAAACTGCCATCTGGGGACTCCTGGGTGGTGTAACAGTGGGGTAGTTAATTATACACCCCATGCTCTTGACCACTCAGTATAGATGACAATCTAGGTGTGTAGCAGAGCTGTTGCCAGAGTAAGCTGTGCTACAATGATCCTGAGACGTTACTGATAGCACATACTACAGCAGCCTGAGGTTGCTCTAATTTATGCTAGGGGCTGAACTGACTCTAGTTGCCCCCAAGATTCCGGGTGTTTGTGGCTGGAAAACCATCTATACCTCCCCTACTTCCCTTCAGGTGTACATGAGGATCTCACCTACTCTGTGCAGCAGAGTGAGCCTAATATATGAAAACCACATGTTTCTGGTCTACCTGTTCAATGTGAGTTGTTTAATGCCCCTTAATTTCTAATTATTTATTTGTTCCATTGGGATAGCCGAGTAATGCAGTAGAAGGCAGGGGTCAGCAAAATAGCAATGCAGGAGGGATTTTCTTCCAGAAGAAGAGTAATTAAACTGACCAGATTTGCATAGCATTTTGTTGCAAAAATATACGGATTACAAGCACTGAAAGAGAGCTGGTGACCCATCAGTAATAAGGCACAGAGAGGAGTAATTAACAGGACGTGTAACTAATGGTATTGGTTAGGGAAAGCAAATGTAGACATTAGACAGGTCAAATAAGGCCAGCTCTAAGGCAAAATTTATGAAAAAGATAACATGACATTTTACATAGTTCTTAAATTTAGACCTTTTTTGTCTGATTTCTAAAGAAGGGGATTATCTGATCATTCAGAGGAAGCATTAAAAAGGACTAAATTGCACACACTGAGATGACTGACATGACCATCACTGCACAATGCAGAAGTGAATTAAAGAGCTTGGGTGTAGGTCATTTCATTTACTCAAAGTGTTCTTGGCTGGTGGAAGAGAGCAGATGGTCTGCTGAAGCATATATTTACCTCCCTTGACTAACCATATCATCAGATAAGACGTACTCTTTGAGAACTCTTTTACTCATGTAATGTGTGTTTTTTTAAGTGACATGTTTTTTTGAACTTATACAAAAAAAGGATCAGTCCAGGTTTAAAAACACCATCATTCGACTGTTAAAGTGATATTGTACAAATGGTGCAGTTGCTAGGAATAAATGTCAGTCTTACAGTAATTCACCATCAGCTGGTGTTTGAAAGTCAAGCAAAAATGGTCTACAATGTGCAGCATGAGCCAAATTTCAGGACGTGGCTACACGTGCAGATGTAGAGTGCTTTGAGTTAAACCAGCCTTCGTAGAGCACAGTAGGGAAAGCGCTGCAATCTGTCCACACTGACAGCTGACAGCGCACTGGTGTGGCCACATTAGCAGCTCTTGCAACGGCCAGAGAGAGCAGTGCATTGTGGGAGCTATCCCAGCATGCAAGTGGCTGCAACGTGCTTTTCAAATGGGGAGGGGTGGGGTGGAGTGTGACAGGGAGTGTGTTGTGTGTATGTGGGGGGGGGGAGAGTGGGTTTTTGGGGGGCTGAGAGCATGTCAGCATGCTGTCTTGTAAGTTCAGACAGCAGCAGACCCCCTCTCCCCCACACACCTCTCTCTCTCTCTCACACAGCATTCCACAGTAATGGTTGCTTTGTCTTGGAGCAGATAAGCATGCCGGTTGTCAGAAACGGAGCTTTCAAAGGGCATATCCGCATTCCTGCAGCGATTCCAAAACAATGACAAGAGTGGCCACTTGACTTAAGGGGATTATGGGACGTTTCTGGAGGCTGATCAGAGCGCAGTAATGCAACACCTCGTTCACACTGACACCCAGGCGTTTCAGCCAACACGCACCAAGCGTTAATCTTCTCGCCGAGATGGAGTACCAGGAGTGCTCTAGCCCTGGAGTCAGAGCGCTCTACGTGCCTTGCCAGTGTGGGCGGGTAGTGAGCTAGGGTGCCCGGGGCTGCTTTAATGTGCTCTAACTCACAGTGTAGCCAAGCCCTCAGTCACTACTCATTCCTTACTCAAAGCTTCCATTGAAGTCACCTCTCGCTTATGTACATATCACCTAATGCAGGGCCTGATCCATAGCCCACTGAAGTCAATGCATAGATATCCATTGACTTCAATAGCTTTGGATCATGCCCATGGAGAATATAAAAGATATATATACATATTGCTCAGGAATAATAAATACTTTAATCACAGCATAATATAGGAGTTGCAATTGACATCTGTTCGTGCCTTTAATTAAAGGCTGGCTGCTACTCACCCGTTTATACAGCCATGGTTCTGGTGTTCGCCAAGACGCACCCAATCTCTTCTTCCATCATGCACCCTTTTCATGGTTGCAAGTCGAAAGAACATAGGGAGTGGGGGAAGTGAGAATGTAGGGACCTGTACCTACACAGGCTTAGCATTCAGAACTCCCCCTGAAGCCAATGGTGTTTCTGCACTTGTAGGATTGGGCCAACAGTGGAAAAGCTGATGCAGGATGCAGGATTCCCTTTCTACTCCAGTTCAGTCAGTGTGAGCAGCTACTCTAGACTGCATTTCCCCTACTCATCCACTAATGAAGTCTTTATCCCTGTTTAAGAGTGCCCTATACACATATAAGTGGGTGTTCAGACACCACATATAAAAGCTTAGCTAGAGAGAGATGTGCTATTTCAGTGTCAGACTGCTGACTGTACGTAGACATGTACACTGTGATTTTAAATGGTTTTACTTTTCTCCCACAGCAATGAAATCAGGAGGCACCCAACTAAAACTGATCATGACATTCCAAAATTATGGACAAGCATTGTTTAAACCAATGAAGTAAGTAAGAAATGTTTCACTCCATTTTAAAGCTGATTTACACAGCCGTGGCATGTTACCCTCTTGACAGCTGTTAAAAGATCACTCATAATGTCTTCTAAGTTTGTGGTGCTTAGTTATCTAAGCTTCCCACTGAATGTAAATTGTAGGCATGTTAAGAAGAGGAGGCATGTTAAGGCATGAGGAATTTCGGCATTCTTAGAGCCTGATCCACATGAAGTCAATAGGAGTCTTTGCATTGACTGCAATGGGGTTTGGATTAGATCCTAAAATGACACCAGGTATATCGTGGTTTTATATGAGATGTCATGCACTGTGAATTCTTTGACTCACAAAAATACAGGATGTGCTCAAAGTTCCTTTCTTATGTGGATCTTTATTCAAAACACACTTGCTCCAATATTTTGCAGTTTGTATTGCATCACTTATTTTGGAAATGTTACCAGCAAGAGTGCGAGTTTTGGCCAGGTTTTCAGAATAGATTTATTAGAGAGGAAGACATAAATAGTGTTTGTTTGATGAATTATAATTTCATCCTTTGATTTATTGCTGTTGGTATTAGAGGTGCACTCTACTGTTTGCTAAGGCTGTATTGTAGCTGTGAAAATGAGGTTCTTTGAGAAGCAGGAGTGAGGAGAAAAGACTTGGATGGAACAGGAATGATTTTACTCTCACTTACACCTGTGTAAAGCAGGAGGTCAGTGGCATTGCACAGGTGTAAAACTGATGTAAGTGAGCTCTGAATCAGGCCCTATATGTTTGTATTATAATAATGAAAATCACTGTGTGCTTAGTGTACAGGGTATAGTAAAATCACTTGAGGCTGCAGAATGTTTAATGAAGCTACTCACTCTCTGTGTCAGTGGTATTACTGGAATAATAATAAACTCATTTCCTTTCTTTGTTCCCCCTATAAGGAAGTTCACTTAATTTCCTTTAAGGTGGTCTGTAAAGGAATAAAGCAGCACAGAACATGTGGTTTTCAGTATGTATTTGTTTTATATTGTACATGTAGACAGGAAGGATGGTCCAATGGGCAGGGGGTTAGCTTGACACCTGAGTTCAATTTCCTGCTTGGCTACTGACTTCCTATGTGACCTTGGGTACGTCAGTTACTATCTCTGTGCCTCTATTCCCCATTTGTAACATGGCGATAATAAAGGGAGGTACCTTACCTCACAGGGATATTGTGAGAATAAATGCATTAGAGACTGTGAAATGCTCAGATACTACAGTAACAGAAGCCATATAAATGCCTAAGGTAGATCAGGCCTTATATGGACTTCAGAAGGAATAGGTAAATGAGTTTCCTTCGCATCAATCTCCTTGTTCACGTGCATCCTGAGATCTATGAAGAAATCCCCTAGATCTCAGATCATCCACAGAACCCCAAAGTGTTTGTGCAAAGGCTCAGTGGTCCCACGTTATTCCCAAATTCCTCCCATTCAGGCTGGCTTCCTCTGGATTCACATTTTTCTTGGTTCCTCTTGTGGGGCTGGGAGGCTCAGATCTCTGAGAGGGAATCTACATAAGATGATGTAGACAAGTCTGAAGGGAGATGTTGCCAAAGCATGTCCTAAATGGACCATTCCAAAACCACTGGAACTATAAAAGCAATGCTCAGAGCATTGGTTTGGATGATACCATTGAGGCTCTACTCCTCCCCCCACTCCCTTCCCAGCACATTTTATCTGACACATTTTATCACTATTCCAAATCATATATCACTATTCCCTCCCTGGGAAATTTCTGAGAACATGACAGGGCCTAGCTGTCTTTAATTATTAGGTAAAAGAGTGATGGCCTTGGTGCCTTTCCACATGGTACAAGATTCCTCTTGTCTCCATTTACTTAGATGCAGATATTTTAAATCATTATCATTGCTGCGACATTGTAGCTCTGGGAATGCTAATGAGGTTAAATCAAAAGTTTACCATGTGTACTGCTTTATATACACCACTGGCAAGATGATGGATGACAATGGATGTATAACCAGTTTCCTATACAGAAGCAATTATTGCCATCCACGGGGACAATAGCAGAAAATGACTATGTCTTAATCACCCCTTCAGCTTAATTTTGAGGGTGTTAAAATGCTATTTTCTAACTGATTTTGCATTAAATAGATGTTTAGAAAAAGAACCACTGCAGCATTCCACAACTGTGTTCCCAAATACTCCATCTTACAGTGGCAACACGACTATTTCAGATGATCGCTGTAGAATACTTTAGTTTTTTTTATTAAGGACATTTGCGAGTATTTGTTTTCATTATGAACAGGGAGCCAGATCCTAAGCTGGTGCAAATCAATATACAGTAAAAACGGTTTTATCCGGCAAGTTGGGGGAATGGGGGTGCCGGTATGTGAAAAATGCCAGTTAACTAAGAGGGAGGGAGTTTGGATGCAGGAGGGGGTTCGGTGTGTGTGTGGGAGGGGGGGTGTCTGATCCAACGGCTGCTCACCTTGGGTGGATCCCCACAAGCGGTGATCTGTCCCAGCTGCTCCTAAGCGGAGGCGTGGCATGCAGCTCTGCACACTGCCTGAGCCTTTGCCCACAGGTGCCGCCCCCTGAAAGTCCCATTGGCCATGGTTCCCAACCAATGGGAGCTGTGTTGCTAGTACCTGGGGCAGGACAGGGGCAGCGTGCAGAGCCGCCTGCCACGTTTCCGCCTAGGAGCAGCCGGGACAAGTCGCCGCTTGCAGGGAGCTGCCCAAAGTGAGTGGCCCCGGATCCGGAACCCCGCACCCCCTTCGGTGTCCCATCCCCCTGCCCGCATCCAAACTCCCTCCCAGAGCCCGCACTCCACACCCTCTGCCACACCCCACACCCCTGCCGGCCCCAGGCCAACTGGACTATAAACTGGAATTTCATTGAAGATCAGAAATGCCGGTTTATAGAGCTTTTTGGTTGGTGAAGTGCTGGATAAAACAGCTTTTACTGTAGCTCTATTGAGTTCAATGGGACTATATCAATTTCCCACAGTTTATGATCTATTTCCTGTGAATTGTTTGGTGAGATATACGGAGTGATTTTCTTCCATGGAACTGAACATCCTAAAACTTTAAAAATACAGTCTGTTAAATCTACAGGACTTCCCATGGAAGGGCCTTATCCAGCAGAAAGGAGCCTTCTCTAAATTTAAGCTGTTCCCTCTTTTGAGGGGATATCACTTTTGGTTCAGGCTTTATGTCTGACTCCTTCCCAGGTAAGGTGTCATATGTAGGGCCCTACCAAATTCATGGTCCATTTTGGTCAATTTCACGGTCACAGGATTTTAAAAACAGTAAATTTCATGATGTCAGCTATTTAAATCTGAAATTTCATGGTGTTGTAATTGTAGGGGGCCTGACCCAAAAAGGAGTTGTTGGGTGGTCACAAGATTATTGTAGGGGAGGTTGCGGTACTGCAGCCCTTACTTCTGCACTGCTGCTGACGGTGGTGCTGCCTTCAGAGCTGAGCAGCTGGAGAGCGGCATCTGCTGTCCAAGAGCTCAGCTCTGAAGGCAGAGCTGCCACCGACAGCAGCGCAGAAGTAAGGATGGCCTGGTATGGTATTGCCACCCTTACTTCTGTGCTGCTGGTGGTGGGGCGCTGTCCTCAGAGATGGGCACCCAGCCAACAGCCACCGCTAGCTGTCCCCCAGCTATGAAGTCAGTGCAGAAGTAAGGGTGGCAATACCGTGACCCCCTTAAAATAACCTTGTGACCCCCCTGCAACTCCCTTTTGGGTCAGGACCCCCAATTTGAGAAACGCTGGTCTCCCCCATGAAATCTGTATAATATATGGTAAAAGCACACAAAAGACCAGATTTCGCGTTCCGCGACGTGTTTTTCGTGGCCGGTGATTTGATGGAGCCCTAGTCATATGGCAATGATACTCATGTGGATGATGTCAAAGAATGTTCTACATGTTCTTAGGGCATCATCAGTGCTAATGCAATGGGTAGGTTCCTCCCTACCTTAGTCAGAGCCAGAGAAGACCTTTAAAGGAGTCTTATGGACCACAAAACAACTCCCTGACTCTCAGTTCTGGGATCGGCAAGCTGAAGAGGCTTTCACTTTGATAGTCAGGAAAGTGACCTGCATCATGGGCCCCTGCACTCTTCTTCCATAATTGTGATACAAGCCACATGACTGCATTCCACCGATCAACACGTAGGAGTATGCACTACACAAGAAGTCCCATAGGTCATCCAGGACCATTTCCTCTTCTGTTTCTGGAGATGTGCACAATAGCTATTCTAGCCTTTAGGAAATCCTGTGGGATGCATATTCCCAGCATCAGAGATGGAACATGGGAAGGACTCATGATGTGTTTATCTCCGTCTGAGTGGATATGCCTTTCCCTATGAACAACCATGCTTCTAGCCCAGTCTGAACAGCAGTTAAATAATGTAGCATTTCTTGCCTGTGAATAAATAATATGGCCTCAATTCAGCTGTCAAATAAAGGGGTGAAGACAATGAAGTTGCAACTCTGTCTCTGAAGTTTGAACTGAGCTACTCTTTAACATACCAGAGGGGGTTGGAACCAGCAGGATATTGAGCTTGATTCCCAAAGAAAATTCTTGATCAAAAGTGTCCCAATCTGTCTATTATTCTAGTCAGTTTAAAGCTAAATCCCTTATTTCTGCAGGGCTCCGATTCAGGTAGTGTGTGAGGGAACAGCCCCCTGTCTGCACTTGATTCCATTTGTAATATCGGTGAACCCTTCTTGACACATGTAGACCTGCTCAGTATTCTTCAGAGTTGCAATGATATTGGTGCAAATGGGGAGGAATGAGAAGAACATGCTAACTCTTTACTAATGCAGGCAGATATCTATTAACTAAATGGATATTCCATAGCACTTCAGAGATGGTTTCTGCAGCAGTGTTACAGTGAAATGAAACTGGCAAGTTGTTCTAACTCCTGGAGAACTCATGAGCAGGCCTTGGTTAGTTTGCATTTCACAGCTGCCGAATCCTTTGTTGATTACATCTATAAAATGAGCCAGCTCAT